CAGGTTCCTGCAACACCTAGCAATTGCAACCGCCTCTGGTAGTGGCCGGTTCCTGTCCTGACTACCGCGCGGTGCAACGTCTGTTTGTTTGCCCGGCCGTGATTTTGAAGATAATTGTTTTTCGGGTAATTATTTCATTTTTTTTTTAATTTTATTTTTTATTGTATTTGAGGATTTCTCTCTCTCTCTCTCTCTCTCTCTCTCTCTCTCTCTCTCTCTCTCTCTCTCTCTCACTCTCTCTCTCTCTCACTCTCACTCTCTCTCTCTCTCTCTCTCTCTCTCTCTCTCTCTCTCTTTCTCTTTCTCTCTCTCTCTTTTCTCTTTTCTCTCTCTCTCTCTCTCTTTTCTCTCTCTTTCTCTGTCTGTCTCGTTCTCTCTTTTTTTTCTCTCTCTCTCTCTTTCTCTCTCCCCCTCTTTCTCTCTCTCTCTCATTCCCTTTCACTCTCTCTCTCTCACTCTCACTCTCACTCTCACTCTCACTCTCTCGCTCCCTCTCTCTCTCTCTCTCTCTCTCTCTCTCTCTCTCTCTCTCTCTCTCTCTCTCTATATATATATATATATATATATATATATATATATATATATATATATATATATATATATATATATATATATCACGTTTGATTCCAAATTCCTTTTTTGGGGAATTTGATTTATTTGAATGATAAAAGAAAACCGATATAGTGACGTGTTTAAACCTTAAGCTGGCATTCAGAAGAAGAGTTATATAATCAGATACATTAAACACTCATATTTATCAGGATTAAAGATCACGAAAAAAGTGCATATATCAATAGGCCTACTTCAAATGAACAAGGAATCAGTTATCAAAAATGAAACGAACTTGCACCGCCGTTCTTCAGTAAGTCACGTTTGCATTGGCAGGATTCGCTTGCCAGGACACGCCCCTCGCCTTGACCTCTTTCTTGACCCCTGACCACCAAATTGTAACAGCCATGGGGTGTCACGACCCTCAGGATTGCAAGCAGTTGCGTCTCTCTGTATTTGTCTGAATGCCTGAGTATTTCTTTTTTTTCCTTTTCCTTTTCTTTTTTCTTTCTTCTTCCTCCCTCTTCTTCCCCTCCTTCCCTCCTCTCCCCCTCTCTCCTCTCCCCCTCTCTCCTCTCTCCTCTCCCCCTCCCCCCCCCCTCCCCCACCCCTCCCCTTCCCCTCCCCCACCCTTCCCCTCCCCCTCCCTCCTCTCCCCCTCTCTCCTCTCTCCTCTCCCCTCCCCCTCTCTCCTCACCCCCTCCCTACTCTCCCCCTCCCCCTCTCTCCTCTCCCCCCTCCCCCTCCCCACCCCTACCACCTTCCGCGCCATTTACGTCTCGCAAATATGATTATCTTGAACTTCTGCGCGTTAGTGTCACTCCCTGCCGGTGCTCGTCTCGTCAGAATGTTCCGCCCTGTTTATCATTATCTTCGTTTTTTCCTGCTCTTCGTTACCCATTTCCGTCGCCTAACGTTTGCTCGTTATAACTAACACCGACCGTGTATTGAAGAGAGAGAGAGAGAGAGAGAGAGAGAGAGAGAGAGAGAGAGAGAGAGAGAGAGAGAGAGAGAGAGAGAGGAGAGAAGAGAAGAGAGAGAAGAGAGAGAAGAGAGAAAAGGAAGAAAAACGAAGTCGAAAATTTGAAGCAGAAACGTACGAAAGTCGAACACCCTGTCAAGCGAGACCCAAGACTTCTCGCGTCTGAAAACCCGCCCATCGGACGGCCGGGTAATTAATGCCTCGCGTGGAGTCATTTCGGAGATCGGTCATTAAGATTCCGGGTCGATTAGGACCACGTCGCCATGCATTTCCAACGAGCTTTTGGGCCTTGGCGACGCTCCGGTCTCCGTGGGAATTTTGGGGGGGAGGGGTGTGATGTCATGTCGCCGTCAATTGCATTCCGAGGAGTCGGGGTTTTTAATTTTTGATTTTGTGTTCTGATTGCTTGTTTTTGTTTATTTATCTATCCGTTTGTTGGAGAGAGAGAGGGAGAGGGAGAGGGAGAGGAGAGGGAGGGAGAGGGAGGGAGAGGGAGAGAGAGAGAGAGAGAGAGAGGAAGAGGACAAGGAGAGAGGGAAGGGAAGGGAGAGGGGGAGAGAGAAGGTAAAAAGAGAAAGATATAACCTCTTCTCAAACTCCATTATAATATCTATCCAGCATCCCCTAAAATTCAGTCCTTCCCCCTCCCTCTCCCTCCCTTTTTAATCTTCCCCCTCTCCCCTCCCTCTCCCTCTCCCTCTCCCCCCCCTCCCCTTACCCTTTCCCAAGCTTCGATCATCAACATACCTGAGGGAGGTCCGCGTTGCCATGGTCAGCTGATTTGCAACGGCCGAAACGTTTCAATTATCCGTAAACGTTTGATTCGCGGACCATCGGCACGAGGGGAACAGGTGGTGGGCGGGCGGCGGGAAGGTGGGCGGGCGCGCTATATTAGAGAAGGGAGGGAAATATCGATTGTCCATTTTTTTTTTTTTTTTTTTTTTTTATGAACTCGATTGAAATGTGAAGTTTTGTAATTTGCGTTTGGCACGCGCGTGTTTATTTAATATTTTTTTTTTGTGTTTTTTTACTTTGTGTTTTTTTTTTTTTTTTTTTTTTTTTTTTTTTTTTGGCCGTATTGTGATTTTTATTTAGAAAATGTTTAGTTAACTGTTTACTTATCTACATATTCATGTGATTGATTGTATGATGATTAAAGTTGCAAAAAAGGCGAAAAAAGTAAAAAATGATGATAGCTGGTACTTCCCACCTCCCTGCCCCCCCCCCCCCCCCCCTCTCTCTCTCTTTCTCTCTCTCTCTCCTCTCTTTCCTCTCTCTCTTTCCTCTCTCTTCTCTCTATCTTCTCTCTCTCCCCCTCACCTGCCATCCCTTCCTCTCCCTTCC